AATGTCCTACTTTTTGCATTCCTCATCAAAGTTTGTCCCCATACTGATGTAAGCCTCAGGTGATACCCAGAAGGCTAGTAATTCTAGCTTGTGACCAGCAGCAATGCAGTAGTGTTTTAATTTTTCTCTAATGTTCTGGCACTGTAAAACTAATCTAATCAGCAAAGAACCTAGGAGAAGGGTGGATAAGAGGACCTCCAAGAAATGTGGTCTCTTCACAACTGAAGAAGAACGTCACATCTCCATACTGACTCTTTAGGAAGACAAGCATTGCCCTTTAGCACCTAGACAGGACACCATTCTTCCTCCTAGGAGAGTGTAGAGTATAGGAGAAGACTGAAAAATGCAACAGCCTGTAATGTATTATTACTGTGTTAATATATTAATGTAGTAAAGGATGACTCAATAACATATATGGGATCTACATTTCATATGTATGTTTTTACTAGCTATTAAGTAGAATATGAGACTCTGAGTAGGAGATTTGGCTGGAAGCTGAGTTGCTTACTATTGGAATCAAAAATGTATAGCCATGCTGACCTATGTTCCTGTTCTGATCCAGACTGAACTGCTTGCTTATTTTTAAACACTTGCTTAAATCCCATCAAAGTGGAATTAATCTACATGTAAGTGGTCTTTTCAAGCTAGGAACAAACTCCCGAATTCAGATCTTAGAGTTCACTGACTATGGAAAAAAATGTTGTGTGTCCAGTTTGAATGCCATTACCTACTAGAACTGTTTCACTTTTCTAGCTTTAAAAGCACTTTTGTAATACCATAATAGTGCAAATTTACAAGCACCAGTCCTCATCCAGGCATTAGAGTTTTTTTTTTTTAAATCAGTCACCCATCAAAGATAATTTTAAAAATCTAGTAGTAAAGTAGCACGACATACCAGTCCTGCCAACCACAAAATGTAATTCACAGAATCACAGAATGGTTGAGGTTGCAAAGGACCTCTAGAGATCATCTAGTCCAACCCCACCCCGCTTCAGCAGGGTCACCTAGAAATGAAATATGCATAGTCTTATCCAGCTGAAAAATAATTCAAACTTGCACAATACTTGCTTTAATTTGGTAACTTAGTTTGTATTACTATTATTATAAATTACCCTTTGCCAGATGCACTTCTGACAGTTTGGGAAGATATGAACTTAATTGCAAATGCTAAAGAATGTCTATTTGTTTCATCTGGAGGTAAAACTGCTTCAAAAAGTTTTACTTATTAACCATCTTATATGGACTTTTATGTATGAAATGAGGTCAGGTTTAGTCTTGGGGGACTCTGTTCTGTGCTGTGGGACCAGGTCATCAGCTGGCTACCCTTGAATTTATTACTATTTTTATAGTCTAATAATTTGGTCCAGATATTTTAAAACTATAGGCTTTGTCAGTAAAGATGAATTTTTCATTTTTTCATACTCTGTTGATCCACCCCTTCTTTCCTCCATCATCTCCCCAACATTACATATATATATTTCTTTTTATTGGGAAATCTATTTTAGAAAAGAAACCAGATGAGAGCACAGCACACTTATGGACTTGATACCTATAATGGACTCAGCTGCTATGGTTCTGCAGAGTTAACCTGCAAGCCTCCACAGGGTTTCCATCTCCGATGCAGGCTGCTGGTACATTTGAGAATAATGACACAGCTAATCCACTCCTGTATTCTGGATGAAAATAAATTATTTCTCTCCTTTACTCCCAATTAGCACAGACCAAAAGATTACAGTTCTTGGACTGTAAAGTACTTCTTTAGTTATAAAGCATTAAACCATCTTATTAAATCCTTACAGGTTGGACCATGTCATGCCATTACACCACAGTGCCACAAGAATGAGGACTCTAACATCAAACCCACAAATTCTTAGAAAATTCTTAAAACAATACTGTAACCCTCTTTCCTACATCTTGCATTAGCTTTTAAAAACAGAAGATCCACTATCCAGCACCATCCAGCTCTAAAGGAAAACTGGCAACAGCCAAGGCATAACTTTATAGCACAGGAATCTAGGTAAGATTTGAAAAAAGTCTTTAATAGCATGCATCTAAGCATAAGACAATTATTCAAGTCTTTGTCGAACACAGTTTTAAGCTCATAAGGTTACATCTCTATGTTTACTTCTTAAAAATAATAAAATGTTTACTTCCTAAAATATTGCAGTTTAGCACTGGGTACGGACTTCAGGAAATATTCTGAAATTAAATAGATGCCTATTTTCTCTTCTATGTTACTACAGAAAATATCTATTCATAAATACTCTGCCAAAGAAACGGTAATCACCATCTCATATATGTTTTCTTGTACAACACAGCTAGAGAACACTAGCTAGTATATGGATAATTCATAGTAGAAAATCATACCCATGAAGAAATCCTGACTGGAAGGGATACCCTCCCAGTTGGGTATCAAAGTAATTGTTCATATACAACACATCTCGCTTAATGTTTCATCCAGTGGTTGAAGAAGTGGTGTTTTCTCACTTATCTTCAGAGGAAACAAATTGTTTGAAGTGTTCTCACAGTCCACCCACGTTGCAAAGTGCTCTTTTGCCGTCTCTGGAGATATTGCCCCCCAGCAAAAGTATTCAACTCTATTTTTTTCTCAAACCCTAGAAAGCAAGTCGCACCCAGGACCCCTAGGACAGCTCCTTTGCATATGCAGCAGTGCGCTGCTTCCCTACAGGAATTGCAGGTGCTCCCACAAAGCGACGGGGACTGATCTTTTGCCTTTTTCCCTTGTTTTCCGTTGTTTGTTTGCTTGTTTTTTGCCAGCTGTGCGCGCTCAGAGGGAGCACAGGGAGCGCGCAAGGGCCTCGCAGGGGCCGCCTTTCGCCACCAGGTGGCAGCAAAGGAGCCCTCATGAGCAAAGTAGCAGCGGGAACGTCCAAATACAAAAATAATTATTTTATATTTTTTTAGTTAAAAATAAATAGGTATATAAATAAATACCCCAAAAAATAAAACGGCAGAAATACCACCAAAACATGCCTGTAAGTTTTTTTGCCTTTACCGTCTACCCGCTAGATGACAGCAGCGCAACTGGGCTGAAGCAACCGGTAATGGATTTATGGAGAAAACGATTTTAGCCCCGCTGCTAAACCCGCGGAGAGCAATGCAGTTAAGAAACTCTCATTATTGGCCATTTTCCTGGAAATTACAGTGTTCTTTGCTTTTAGGCTTCCCGCCTACAGGCCTCAATGATTTACAAAAATACATTTCTACATTGTATGCAATGCACTTAAAGCAAATGTACTCAGGCTGAAAAAAAAAAAAAAGAAAAAAAAAAAAGGACAGTTAAGTATTGTTGCATATTGTTACTTTAATGCTTTAATGTGAATAATTACTTTGTAATGTCAGCTATTAGTCTTGTAAAATGCTTCTAAGATTTACTCCCATAAGCTGGATACATCTGATCTTCCAGACAAAAAGCCTGTCTACATGAAAACTACAGCAAGCCAGGAGACTGAGTTCCCCAGTATATTTACAGTGCTGTTTGATTTTATAATACACATACTAATTTTATGCCAATGGCTTTGCATTAAAATACAGCTACACTTTTGCTATAGCCTGAGCACAAATTAAAGCAACATATTATTTTAACCTAGGTCTTCAAAGAAGTTATGGTACATACTGCAGCAGATAAAGTAGTTGATAGCACAAACTTGATTCAAGCTTGGACCAGGAGAGGAAGTAGAGATTAAATACACTTACCTTCCTGTTTCCCCATAACTGAAGATGAAACCACCCCAAATGAAGTCAATGCACCAAACCCTGCAGGGTATAAATAGAGCATGTCCAGGATTCAGAGGGGGCAATATACACTTGTCCGCTTTTATCCTTTTCCTGGCTTATTTCAAAGCACTTTCTGTGTGAAGAGGGGCAGTATTGGTATACAATACCAGCTTCCCGCGTTACATGCCCCCATGAGGTTCACCTGTGCAAGTGAGGGCAATCCTCAGCTCAGCAGCAGTGCGGCCCTTGCTCAAGCATAGAGGTGTGAGGGGTCTGCAGCACACAGGGAGCTTTGTGGAGACAAAAGGAATAAGGCAAGTGCTTCTCTCTTTTTATTTTATTAAATCTCTTTGTCATTTCTTCACTTATTTTAGATCGCCTATTTATTGAGGTACATCAGCTTAATTGTCAGACTCTTGTTATTTACTTTTGTTCCCTTCCTTTACAAAGGACCTTTTTCATGGCTATATCACATCATCTAGAAACTTTTCACTGTATACTCTAATTCCTACTTATACTCTAGTACAAATTTTGCTCCATTTTTTGATGCAGCTTATTAAAAAATACTTATACTATCTCTTTTGGGGTTGACAGAGTTGCTACATGTTCAGCAAACATGACACAGGGGTGAAAAAACCTCACCTCAGATAATTATTTTGATGAGAGTTCAAAGATTTCAAGATTCCTGTGTTTTTTTTCCTTTTCTTTTTCTTTCACTCCTTTGACAAAGCATAAGAAAACATTTATGAATTTAAGGCAGCATTTTGGTAAGTGCTAAGTTGCTGCAGCAGTTGATTCAGTCATTAGTAATGTATAATTTTTGTTTGAGAAGGCTTTGGGATATCCTGAATGCTACTTTGTCCTATTTTGCTCTATTGAAATCATAGCTAACATAGAAAGGTGAAGATGGTGATGCATGTTTACTAGAACAAATGGTCAAATTATTGCTTATATGGACCATATGTACCCTACTAAAGATAGTATCTGGCCCAAATCACTAGTCAAAAGAATAAGGCATTATGAAAAGTAGCTTATTTATAGTTTTCTTTTGAACTATAGCTGTAAAGCAAGTTCTGTGATGCTCAGAGTATTTGTTTCTTTTCAGGATCAGTTCCGTATGCTGCACAGGAACGTTATAATATAGTGATGTCAAACAAATTGTATTTGTGACAAAAATTTTGGAATTCAAATAAAACAAGGAAGGGGAATAGCTTAATAAAAATGATTTATTGAAAAACTGCCATCAACAGTATTTGGCTGCATTAAGTAAGTAAAACGCTGAGGGTGAGTATGGTAATCAGGATGCAAAGAGCTAGCACAAGGAGCAGGATGATTCGGCAACATTTGGAATGCTTTTTTTCTCTCTCTTTCTTTTTTATCAAGGTATCATACCCAGGAGTATAAATATCCCCCATCCAGAACTGTAGGTCATTAGGATTTTCCTAAAAGAAAAATCAGAAAATGAACTCAGTTCCTCTGTCTTGCACATAAAACCATTAGGACATAGCTAGAGTATTCTGGCTATCATCAAATTGTGATTAATGAATTTAAGGCATCATAACATAAATGCAAGAGACTTTCGCTTGAACATAGGTTATACTATGCCAGATTCTGCAAATGTTGTTCCACTGGGGAAAATTAAAACCATATAATTTTTTAGCCAAGTGAACCAAGTGGAAGACCCCAGCCATTGTAAAGTGATTAAAAGACCTGAAGAAACCATTTCAAATGGAAGATGTTAATTTACGCATGCCGATGGAAGTCACTATCCAAAAAAGGGAACAATTACAAAAAAAAGTAACCATAAAAGGGTCAACCCATGGTATGAGCAAGGCTGAGGAGATATATGTTAACTGATAAAAGAAAGATATTGTTTAAATGGATATTTATGTGACTGTCTGGTATATCAGTTCCTTGTTGATGGATCTCCCCCCTATTTTTCTCTTGTGAGTTAAAAACTGTGCAGTCCCCATTTTATAGGTGGGAATATGAGCTATGGGCTGTGGTGACAGAAGACTTTCTCTAGTCACAGAAGTCACCTTCGGCCAAACTGAAACCATGGGTGTCTGATCAGATGTAGGCTTATTTTCATGGTGAGGCTCCCGCTAGTGTTATGTGTGTGCAGGAAAGCACGTTCATCCTCGCTTCTGGAACCCACCAGGAGTGAGCAGAACATGCTGCCTTGCAATTGGTGCACACATATCATCACGTGTTGCTCCCATGCATGTGAGCAGCACCTTACCTTGATGTGGCTGGCCAAGTTGGAGTGCAGGGAATGCCTGTCAAAGTCTTGCGCGGTCCAGGAAGGAGTCTTTTTCTTCTCTTCCCAGTCACCCTCCACGTAGATATCTCTGTACAAGGGGTTGCTTTTGATGGTGGATTTAAGGGTGATGGGTGTAATGTGTTTCCCAAGTGCTTTATCTATCATTTCTTGGCTGACCCCACTCAGTTCTAAGCCAGGTAGCTCTGTGACATTTCTCTTTTCTCTCTGTAAGACACAAGTTAGAACAGAAGGTGGCTTTCATCTTCATTTACCTGTGACACTGGCCCCTTTCCAGAGTTATCATAGTACAGTTCATAGTAACAGAGTAGAAGCATTTTTAAAATTACAAATGGACCAGTTTTTCTTGTCCTGGGAATCATCTACAGTGAAATAAGGGGGTCTGACTCTTTGCTCTGTGTAGGTTTCTTCCTTCTGTGGAAAACACGTGGGCACAATATGAAGGTCAAACTTCTCTGCTGACACGTACTGGCACAATGAGACTTGCAGGAAGAAGAGCCCTACTGTAGATGAAGGAGCACCCCAGTGCAGCTTGCAGTTCTGAGAAAATCCAGGGGAATGCAATGCCAAAGCAGAGTAGTGAGCATAGAGCTGAGCAGAGGCACAAGGGTTATAGGGTCTGGCTTTCCTGGAGATGCATCTTAGAGAGCAGGGGTATGACATGCGTCAGGGGTATGACATGAGTGAAAGAAGTGCTGAGGCAGCATGGCAAGGGAGAGGGACAGCTGCAAGTTGGGGGTGAACTTCCACTTTTGGTAGGAGCTGACTGCAATGTAACTTCGTTACCCACCTCCTGCCTCAGTGCCCTTGCACACACATAGAGCGTGCAAGTCAGTCTGGGGCAGGCAGACGTAGTGCCTGAGTGGAAGGTGAAAACGGAAAGAAGCAGAAGAGAAAACAACAACCTTTGTCTAAGCAGCCCTGAGAGATAGCATCGTGCTGGCATCATTCTTATCACCAAATGATGCACAAGCGACAAGGTATGTTTCCCATCAAGAATTATCGTTAGTAGGTAGGTGGATCCTCAGTGTCCTCCCCGTCCCTCTGTTAGTTCATGATTTCCACATGTCATTCCTAAACCTTGACATAGTCCCTGACAATATTACCCTTTGCATTGCAGTTGGAGCTGGCACTGAAGCTCACTGCATTCTCCTGGCTAGATTTCAGCTGAGCTGGTGTTTTTAACTGTCATTTCTTTCTGACTGTGTTTATTATTATTATTATTATTTATTTCTCATTTAAAATATGTCAAAGACCTTAATAATGCTTCCCTCAGGCTTGCTGTATAGTTGAACTTGGAGAACATTTTGCTGAAGAAGGCAAACTGTCTCACCAGGGGATATTCAGTCTCCTTAGGCTAAAATGTTGTGAGAAGAATGTGACTTTTAAAGCTGTTTTAAATTAAAAAAAAAAAAAACTCCAAAACAGGGCATAAAAGGCATGATGCAAAATTTGTTCATAAAAGAGCCCTTTGCAGCAAAACTTTTTTTTTTTTTTTCTTTGCCTGAGGACTACCTTCCCTCTTGTGGGCAATGATGAGGCATGGGAACAGGAGAATGTGGTACCTCGGAGGAAAACCAGCAAGGAAATATGATGGGAGGAGCAATGTGATTTTACCATAAAGCTGGAAATTAGGGCAGGAGAAGACTTTGGAGGGCAGACATAGAAGTGCCAAGAAAACGAGGAGAATATGCTTCAGTGCTGCTGAATGTTCAGTCGTGACACTTTTGCAATAGCTATATCTTAGAGAGTAGTTAGAAAAAAAAGAAAGAGGGAAGTTTGAAAAATAAACAAACAATACAAGATTTAGGTCCAACAAATGACTCAGAGAAGTAGATTGCATGAAACATATGTATTTACACAAAAAGCAGAGAAAGAGAGGGGGATTAGAGCACAAAAATATACCTGCATGTATTAATTCAAGGCGAAAACTGTACATTTCTTGTTTTAACAGGGGGCAAGATCTTCCAGCACCATTTTCACAGATTTCTGTTCCTTGATTCTAATTCAGGAGAATAAATGTTTAAAGAGAGGAGAAAGTATTGTAAACCAAGGCATCTGTGTACATTACACAACTTATATTCACCGTGTCTGTGAGAGAACTTGAGTCAGGGTGGAACAGTCCTGCTCTAAATCCAGCATTATAACCAGCTTGTGTCATCCCTCGCTAAAATGGGGCAGAGAATATCTCATCCTGAAAGCAAGAGTGGTTATGAACAAAATGAGAAACTGTAGTTGAAATGCATTGAGGAAATATCCACAGCCATGCTAACACCCTATCAAACCCAGGATAAACAAGGTTAGTCTCCTGGACATTTGCCCATCCAGATCCCACAAGAAGGGTTCAATCAGAAGCCTCAATGACAAGCAGATTGGACAGTGTAACACAATGGACAAAGAGGGATCTCGGGGACCCCCGGAAACGCAGCTGCATCAGGGATCACGATCCAAGCAGGCAGAAGCTGTTTGTGCTGCTATGCCTGCAAGCCAGGCCACCAGATTCTGCAGGAATTGTTTTGCAACAACTCCTCAAGCCAAATAGAAGAGAGTGATTACTGTATTAGCAAGTAATTTGGGGAGGATTGCAAACTTCTGTTGTGCAAAGCATGTTGATGCTCCCTGAAGAGTGCTCCCAGCATGGCAAAAGACATTTTTCTTTTATAAAGACCTGTTCCTAAGAGAGGCAAAAAGGTCTGATGGACAAAAAGCAGCTAGGTAGCAACGTAAATCAATCCCCGTAGTATCTGTAACAACTGTATAGATATTGCAATACATCCATTCAGTAAATAAAATTTATTTATCAAAATGTATAATTACTAGATCTTTCAAATTTCCCTTTTGTATTTTCCATTCATCTGATCTAACAGAGGGTGCAGAGAAAAGTGATCAGTAAGACTCCCCATGACTAGGCAAGCAGATGTGAAAGCCGATGGGGCAGACAGCTCACTTCAAGGACTCGTCATACCCATGAGCACAAGGCTTCTTGTCAAAAAAAGGAAATGAAGAGCATCAGATGTGCTTTGCAGGAACGTGAAGCAGGATCATATACCAATGGTCCCATACACTGGGAGCCAACCTGACATGGGGAGAAGATAAGAAGATGGTTGTAACCCTAAGTGCTAGCACTCAGAAACAGCATTATTAGAGAAAAAAGAGAGGCCTTCGTCCTGCTTTTGTTACAGAGTGTCTGGAGTACTTTTGTCCTGGTAAGTAACTGTTTACTTGAAGGAAGCTGTTTTGTCCATTGTTCATTGCAGAGATCCGCAGGGTTGTGAGCATGTTACATAAAAACTACTGTACAGAGTCAGCCCAAAGCTGCTGCCAATCTTGCAGCTGGTGTCTGGCCGTGGCCAGTTGCAAATGTCTAGGGAAGGCGAAGGGAACAGGAGAAGTATGTAATGCTTATCTGAGCCAAGGGACAAGCAAGGGACTGTAACCCTAGGACATAGCTAAGAAGTGAAAATCTTGTCTTGCCAATTCAAACACACGCAAAGGATGACCTGAGAGAAAAGCTAAGGCAAAGGGGTTATTTAATGTGGGCACTACAATGTGTGCAGAGGACTGTGAATTTCTTAAGTACCACCAGCAGTGAAGCAGCACAGCATTCAAAAGCAAAATGCTCTTCAGAAGAGAGAGAGAAAGTTGGAGGATATAGGCAGGAAAGAAAGCCTAGGAATTGGAATGACTGGCCAGATAGCCCAAAAGACGGCAATGCAGCTCAGCTCACAGCAGTGGAAAAAGCCAATTAAATTGGATGTATTCTTGAATTTGAAAACTCAGTGTGGGGCAGAGAGTCCAGAGAACTGAGTGCTTTCGGTGTCCAGAAAGCTGCCAGCAGCTAGCTCTGCTCAGAAGAACCAGCCTGTGCTCCTCATGCTGCTTCTCATGACGGCGGGCTGAGATTCCTGAACTGCTTTATGGACTATTGCATTTAAAGTAATACTAAGTAAGTGGGAAAGCAAGGCGAAGAGAATGAGCAACAACAGCTTTTGTCTGTTAGAAATACAAAAATACCTTAGAAATATAAAATTGTTAGAAATATAAAGAATAGTGTTTTATAGTAGAAATAAATCAAAATGCTTATAGGCAGAGGGAACACACCAGAGCACATAGGGGCACTTCAGTTTGCTCTATCTCCTGATAAAGGACTGGAGGTTTCCCAAGAAACAAGAGCTTCTTCAATGGCTTCTTGGGCAGGGACTTGCTTTAATGGCTTCACACATATGGATGACCACCCTTGAGCGAGGAGCTGTCGGGGGGAGCACACGGAAACTGTCCCAAGCCGCGAGGGAGCTGCGTGATGGGGCCTACTGGGGTGGCTGCCCCTGACAGAGCCCCATGGATGGATGTGCTTCCTCACGCCAGGACGGGAAGCAGAGCCGGCAGCTGGCGCTCCCACCAGGGTGGGGAATAGCCCCCGGCTCCCAGGGAGTCTGGAAAAGGGGAATGAGGAAGCAGAGCCAGCAGGGTGCGAGCTGATGCAGCTGGGCTGCTGCTGAGCCCAGCTAAGTATCTCCAGGGCCTCCTCTGTGCTGCGCTGACATATCTATTTATTTATTTATTTTAACCGGGAAACAGCTACTGCCTCTTTAGAGTAATTTAACCCAGTCAGTCTCCTATCAGGGTAGTAGAAAGATGAGAAGAGAAAGAGGAAAAAAAAAAAAAAAAAGGTAAAACAGAGGAGGCTGCTGCAAGCTGTGCAGACATATAAACCAGTAAGATATTAGCAAGGATCACTAACACCACATACACTTGCTGGAAAATGCTATGAAAATGCTACAACAAGTGGTAAACCCCCTATTTAATTGAAATAACCACCATGAAGATGATGATTCCCTTCCTGAAGTCAGTGGGAAAACTTCCAGGGATGTCAGCAGCGTGGATTCGGGGACACTGGCAGCTGAATCAACAGCAGAAGGCTCAAACTTACTTGCCGTTTGTCTGTAGATGCCACAAACAAGCTAGAAGAAAACAGGGAAAAAATTAGTCATTGTTATGCTTACCTGTGAATAGACTCTGTTGTGCCACCGCTGCACTGCAGGTAAAGCTGCTTCTGGGAATTTCATGAGGTGGGCTTGGAGGAAGGCAGAGTTTTTCACCAAAGACTTCACCTCCAGATGTAGGAATTTATCGGGGTGGTTGTTGTTTGGCAAAACGGAGAAATCCATGTTCCTCTGCTGTCAAGTAATAATGAAAACAGCCCAAGCTCCTGCTTCCTGGCTGTGCATGCTCCTTCTATTATTAATGACGTGAAGAGAGATACGACAGTTTCCTGAAACTGTATCTGACCCGTTTGGTGTCAGGCTCACTTATATCATCTACCTATGATAAAAGATCATTTCGAAGTGGCAGAGAAGACAAGACATGTTTCTCTAAGTGCTGAGCTTAGGTTTTCAAGTTCAGGGTCTATTTTGTTGGATGTGTGTTCATTAAAGCTAACAGAGTATCAGTGAAGAGATGCACGAGACACTTAAACACACGCCAGCACTTCCTCAAGTGACCTGTCAAAATATCAAGTTTGTGGTATTTCTAAGTAAGCTTTTTATTTTATTTTCCTCTCCAGAAAATTAGAAGCAGTTCGTAGTGCAAAGGCAGGAGTGACAAAAGTCTTCCTTTTCCATGGTGGTACCAAAATACGTCATGGTGTTCTGCTGATTAGTACCATTTTACTCAGACTGCTATGACATGCACTTTTATTTTGACTTTCATCTAAGGGAATTCCCTCTATCATCACAGTCATTATTTACAACCGACCAAAGTAACCTTCCCTTTAGGTTAACCTTGTATTCAAAACTTTCGGTTACCATTAGACATGTTTCATTTCTGATAACACTGCTGCACAGGAAAAGGTTTTTGAAAGTTCATGTTGAAATCTAGGAAAACCTACTTTTGACTGAGTTAAGCACTGGGAATTAGGGCATCATGAAACTTTTAGCTTGTACTTAGACCAGAGAATCATTAGGCAGAAATTACACTGGCAAATCCACTTTCCTTATACAGGATTTCTGAGATTAAAAAAATAAAATATAAAATAAAATAAAACAAGCAAACAATTTTTAGAATTTTAATAGTAGGAGGTGCTATTCTAGAAAGTAAATATTTTGAGATACATTTCAATTAAAATCACTTTTCTCATTAAAAACTCACAGTTTTCCAGTATTTATTTGCCATTATTTGTCGGAATACTTGTCAAAAAAGTATTCAAGAATAAACTCAAGATTTTCATATCAGCCTGTATTTGGGACCAGGGACAAAGAGGCAGTAGGGTTCATTTATACTGATCATTTCTCCTGACAAACCTCCTGATGAATTTACAATGTTTTCTTCTTTCATCACAGTGAAGACCTGAAGCTCCATAACACACCTCCATAATGTACTCTTAGTGACCATCATGATCATGTTCCTCCAGATCTAGTATAATATGTAGTTACTCTGTTTCTCTGTGAAGAACTTAAAGAGTAGTCACTAGCATTCTACAATACCTAGGTATATGAATCCATGTTGAGCATAAATCCCCCTTTGAGCTCCCTGTGAGCAGAAGATTTTTCCATGTTACTGTGGCATACAAGGTGTGTTGCAACTGTGAAAAATTACTTATTGACACTATTTCATGACATAAAACATAAAAATGCTCTGCTGGGTCCAACCACCCAAGCCCAGGATCTAGCTGGCTTTTTTTTCCTATTTTTTTTTTCTTACTATTCCTATGGAGTAAGTCAATAACTTAAGACTGCAGTAACCAATGACACCACAGTCTTTCTCCAGACCTGTAATTGTCAGTTGCAAGTCTGGTACCTTGTAAGCATAGGTTAGGCTGTTTTTCTATACCTGCAATATCGTACATATATTCGCAATAAAGTCCATCAGGCAGCATTCTGGCCACTTACTCAATTTTGTGAGTACCTTCTGGAGTTCCTAGCAATCAAGACAAAACTTTGTCATCCAAAAGAGTTTAACATCATCTGCAGAGCTTACTCTCTTTCTCCAGACATAAATGAAAATGTTGAACAAACCTGAGCCCAGCATAATCCCTTGCAGACCACACAGCTGACCCTTCTCCATCCTGAAAGGCAACTGTTGAGCTCTGTCTTTTGCTTCCTATCCTTTAACCAGATTTCTAGTAATAAAATGACTATTCTGCAGCCCTATATCCAAATAGTTTCTCAAATATTCTTTAATGTGAACATTTGTCAAAGACTTTAAATCCAAAGATACCATATTTATCAGATTCTGTTTGTTTAGGACCCTACTGAAGCCATGCTCACTCTTTTCCAACAGCCCATGTTCGTCTGTGTATTCAGTGACCTTATCCTTTATTAAAAGCAATTACTGCAACTGGGAAAAGAACTTCGGAGTCCCTAACCAATAGTAGCAGGGTCTCCTGGACTCTCCTTTTTCTGTAGTTTTTTTTTCCAACCCCACTTGTTACTTATTAGCATCTAATTTACACAGTTGGTCTAATATCCTTGAATATTTACTTTAATGCAGCTTCTTTGATCACCCCACTAAAAGGAATGAGCAAGGTCTGAGAAACTGCACAACTTTTCAGCAAAAAAGGCTAGTGCAGAGAATTCATCGAACTTCTTTTTCACTTAACATCTTTGATATATTTTAAATTGGGCAAATGACACTGTCTTTGCCTTTGAAAATGACAAGGGAAACTGAATGAAAAAATAATTGAGGAAATCAAAACAAAACCCATCCTCCAGAATGAAACAACAAACACCAACCCCCCAGAATGAAAGCATATTAAAATTCTGGTATTCCTTTCTCTTTCAGAAAGGTTTAAGAAGGGGAACTTCCAGCTTTTGGTCACTGCTGTGTTTAGCCAGTTTGCATCTGCAATGAAGTGTCCCCGCTGTGCACTGGCCGAGCACAAGCCCTGTGCGCCACTTAAATCCTGCTTAATCCATCAAAATAGAGCCTAAGTGGGATTTAATTAGCAGAGAGGTCTACTTGAGCTCCTGTGAACTGGAGTGAATTCCACCTTTACTTGCCAGCTGAGCTTGACTGATTGGAAATTCATTAGCTGAAGTGTTACATATTCATCAGGCTAGAAGGAAAACATATTCATGCCAGACCATTAGCGAGGGGCAGGAAGGAAACAACTCCAAACTCAGCAATCGGGGGTTGTGAACGTCTGCTGGTGCAGATGGCAGGTACCTCCCTGAGCACAGCTGGGAAGCACTGCCAGATGTGAGCCAGCCCTGTGCCCTGCTGAGAGCATGTCCCAAACCACTGGCCGGGAGCATGCCCCAGAGCTGCTCATTGTTTTCCAACAAAACACTTGTTTTGGTCTCTGTTGCTCCTCCAAATTCTAAGGCAGTGCATCCAAACAGCAAAAGCAAAACTAACTTGCTCTGAAACTCCTTCAGAGAAAGAAGAGGCATCTTCACTTCGTAAACACAGACCTGCTTCCAAATGAGTCACATATATCTACTTAATCACTTTGAACTATTGATACTGGAGGAATTGAAGATGGAGCTGAAACTATAAACTGATTTCACTCACTGTATTTATAGTGAATATTCATTTGGCTGTGCAGCTTTTTATCCTTGGTCATCCCCATTCATATTTCTTTTCCTTCGCAATGTGCTGCAAGGATGATCAGCGTAGAGTTCACTCAGCTCCTTATAACAGATACAGCAAGGGTTAAAACAAGCTTCTCTGTTTTGTAATAAAGTCAACTTTATTGTTCATGGAATACTTAGAAACAGCAGAGCATAAGCATTTAATATTGAATGGTTGATACACCCAGGTGAAGACAAAAAACAAAAAAAGGTTTTCTGGCCCTTACTTTGGAGACATTAACATTTGTTTGATTTTTTTTTTCGCTCTAAGTGATTTGCACTTGCTTTATTCCAGCAAGTGCAAAAGTATTTGTAGGATTGGATTCTGGGTAAGGATGAAGAAAACTTAAAATAACCATCGTACTTTATGCCTATCAACTACAATAACTCCATTATATTTTCAAATGTATGTCTGTGAAACTGAGGAGTTATGTGCAACAGCAGGCAACAGCAGCTGAACTTTCTGTGCATTGATACCACACTGTGTCATTTTAATTATAAAAAATATATCTTCACACTCTGTAATGTCAGAGATATTTTTCTTTTCTTTTTTACATTTTAATAGCAAAGGATATTTAATTTAAAGTCATACACTAGCACATCATTAAAGCTGCAGTTTTGAATGCATGGCAGTATCTGCCAAATGTAAGGGATTACAGCTATTTGAAAGCACATATATTGATTTTACTGGGAGGTAGGAATGCCACTAAGTATTCTTCCTGAATGTGACTGCCATGCTGACTGGCGAGCCTCAGCATATTAAATCCTGTGTGGGTATCTACATCACATCTATAAAGGAGACTTCATGGAGAGATTTAAAAAGCATAATTGTACAGATCAAAAAAGTTTAATTCCTTTCATTTCCTCTAAGCACAAAATCATACATTGAATTGAATTGTGCCCTGAATCTATTACTTATGCCTATCAAGAAGCATCGTAGTTCAACGCACAGTAGTTACTACAAAGATGTCAGGTGCTTCCTAGTCCAGGTCTACTGGAGCGTTGCAGTAATTTAGCATGGATGGAAAGTTCCCCTTTCTGTATTGCCTTGCAGGGATGCAAATTCACATTGAATCGCTACAGTCATTACTATATCCTGTGATGCCTTTCAGACCCATTTCTCCAGCTGTCTTGCCTGCAGGGCTGCCCATGTATTTTCAGAGCATGTATTTCAGAGCATGACAGAGCTTGTGTTAGGATATGGAAGCCAAGGTCTTACTCCTTTCCTATGGCCAAGTTTGAGGGTTATGCAACTGACTGGAGATGTTATCTCTACTCCACTGATTACTACTTTATTATACCTTGCTTTTCACATATGAATCTTCATAAGGGTTATATCCACCTGCAGCCAGAGAAAAGTCAGGAGACAGGAGCATTTGCTGTAGGCATCACTGTGGCAGTTCCCTGCTCCTAAGCAGGGCTTGATGGATCCTGCTATCAGACAGGGGATGCCCCAAGAAGAAAAATGCAAGTAACCAAAGAAGCTTTACTTTTTATTGAAAATGTAAAAACCATGTGAATCATGTACAATATTTTCACATAAGGAAAATTTTAGCTGTTTCATAACGTTTCACAAAAGTGTGAAACATTTTATTTTTATAAAGACTTTTTCATAAGACAAAGATAAAACTAAAGTAGTATTACAAAGCTATTTTCTAAATCATCAACAGAGAACTGAAAATGTTTAACAGATTAACATATACAAATGGCAGGAGGAAGGATTCTTCCGTTTGTAAAACTGCAAGAGGATACACAAAGGTATAGAGGGGCAATGGGTCTTTTCTTTCAAAACATTTAAAATCAAGTGACATGTTAAAACAGTACAGACATGGTTTCATAGGATGGTACAAATTCTAGGACTGCATTTCTCTACACTACCTCGAACAGTGCAACAGTGATTCAGTGTAAATCTTTACAGTGTTTCATTGATTCAATACTTGTGTTCAAGTATGTGTCCATGAGAATGATTAAAATCCCTACTTAGCTATTTTGATTTTCCTGTTTATAATAGGTTACAAGTTACAGTAGATTATCCCCTATAGCATGTTTCTAAATCAAATGAACTGATTTTACAATACATTCTGTAATAATCTGTTCAAAAATGTTAGCTTACCTCAACATCTGTTGCAAAATACACCAAGATCATTCTGACTCTGAATGCCAAAAATAAAATTAAATTAAAAAGGGCTTTATTTCCATATACAGCAAAACTATTCAGCTAAATTAAAATAAATTCAAGATAACATGATATCTTTTTTTTTTTTTTTTTTGGCAACAGAGGGATGACCCCTACTGAAAATAAACATTTAAAATACTAATTATTATTATTTTTTAATTCTGATAAATGTATCCAAAATTGTTCATATAAAAATTAATTATGAAAACTTCAGAGGATAAAACAAGTAGGATGTCTAACCAAAACAATAAAGAATGTCTGGCAGGCAAAAAATAAATTAATTTGATTAAATTATAGGTAATTTGATAATATTTGGTCTGAAGAAGCGTGCGTGTGTGTGTGTGTGTGTTCATAAATAATAAGATTGCAAAGAGCTGAGAGCCAGCCAGCCTGACAAAGGTCAACTCTTTTGTTGCATTTTTTGCGCATAAAAGTCCCTGCATGTCTCACAGCAACGCTGATACCACCTCATGTCTTGACAGAGGTTCTTCTCTCGTATCACCCTGCAGTACACTGGCCACTGGTCTCCCAGGCACTTGAATGTTAAAGCAGCTGTGAAACAACAACAACAAAAAGATCAAATACACTTAATTAAGTGTAACATTTATTAGTGAAGGATCAGGTAGCAAAGGTGGAAAGGACACCACAGTGTTTCCATGGATGGAAAAGGAGAATAACGTAGTTCAGATTTCAATAGCAAAAACAAAATATTAATCTAATGAAGAAATACTGCCTATAATGAGCAAGTTGCACTGAAACTTCAAGAGAGGAATAAACCCATGTTTCTGGGATGAGCAAATTTGAGCACAAAACTGTTCCAGACTCCAAGTATTGCAGGGAGCAGCTCGGAGTGGTGCGAGATACCAAGACTTTGTGGTGTCTTGTAAATGAATGAGATTTGAATAAAACTACACAATGACTTCTCTACATTTTCTTGGTAAGTGAAACCAAGAAAAAGTGAAAGCAGACCTTTAAATTTTGTCTGACACTTTAGATCAAAAGGACACAAATGTATTGTATCACTAGCTCAAATGCTACAGATGCCACACCACGAGACATCCTTATAAGCACCAAGGCTTAAAGACAGTTAGCAAGTCTTGTGCTAAAGTTAGTAGAGCAAATTTGCTCTACCTAGGAAAATGAAACTTACAGTACAGAATCAATAATTATTGGTATAATTTCAGCAATAGGTCAATATACATTTCCGGTGGCCCAGTTACCTCATTTTTGCATCTCAAATGCCCAGATGCTGTGTACTTTTTGCTTTTTCCTCCTTTTAAAATGTATCTGAAATGTTTTAAAAATTATCTTCCTACTCCATTTGCCTGACTGCATTACCCTCTTTTTAATTACTCCGATAGATTGTTCCTCTTCCATGTCAAAGTCAGATCATTGCTCCTCAACCTCCCTGACCCTCTGTTGCCACTTCCTAACAGCAGTAATTCCTGTCTGTTGACTTGTTGCTCAGAAACCTTCAAAAAACTGGGAAAAGTACCACACAAGACTTTGCCTCCTCCTCCCAGTTCTCTTTAGCAGTTAGGAACATTCACATAGAAAAATCTGACTATTGTTCCTTTGCACAAAACAGACTTAAACAGTTTCATTTGTATCATCTCTTTTCGTTTGAAACCAGATATCCGCCCACACCCATTCAGTCGGTTCACTGAAGTCCTTTTACAGCGCTTATCACAGAAGGACCAGGGTGCCAAATTTGGATCTTAGGACCTTCTCCTATTCAATACTCAGAGCATAGATGGGAGAATAATGAAAAAATCACATGAGAAAGATTCTCTAAAAATCACCATAAACACAGAACTGAGAAAATCAGTCTCAAGGATGATTTGAGTTACTCTTCTTTCTTAAAAAAGAAAAAAGGATGAGAAATTGAGACTTTTTTTAAGCATAGAAATATATGACATAATCCTAGTCAACTTTCCACAGTGGTATCCACTAATCTATAGGATCTGTAGAGCGTAACGGGAACAGATCAGGAGGCCAAAATGGTCAATATGTTCAAGAGAAGCACAGCATACCACTAACATCTGCACAATGCATTCTGCTTGGACAACATAGTCCAATCCCTTTTCAAGGCACTTCAAATTAAGTCAAATTCGGATTAGTCTGAAGTTATATTTATTCATGTAAAACTTTGTGGTTTGTTTTGCTCTGTGACCTAAAGCTGTGTATACCTCCCTGGGTGGAGGGGCCAGTGATGGAGTGGTAACAGCCTCTTGCTTCTGAGAGATCAGCAGAACAAAGAGAGGCAAAATACAAAGGACAACTTTACAGCAGTGAAAGTGTAGATGAGAAGAGTCCTAAGTAACAGCTGCCACCTCAGCCAGCAAACTGAATCAATGACCACGGCACAGAAACATCGAAAAAGGGGTTAAAAACTTCAAACAGAGGTACCCTTCACTGCCTCAAAGGAAGGATTACACACATTAGACTTGCCTTCCACGCAGCAGTAATCTATTTGACAGGAGGGTTTATCTTAACAACGGTTCTGGAAAATCATCTGGAAAGGCCATGCTATCCTACCTGCAGCAAGTCTTTGAGTACGCCCCAGCCATACTCAAGGAACAGAGTAACTTTTTAGGGAGCTAATGAAAAGACCATCATTATCCCTTCGGGAGGAAATGGAATTACAATCGCAATTAGCAGAACTAACAGCTCTGTGTTTATGTAGTAATACAATTTCTATACGAGCAACAGAGACCTGGAAGAAGCTTCTGAAATTAATGCAGTAAATCTCTTCACATTAACAATTTTCTTTTGTATGTCCTTAGGCACCATGCATAGAGTACAGAAATCTGAGTTAAAGATAAGTGAAAATAATTATTTATTTAATAATTAATTATGTTCCTTAAATAAGGATGTCCTTGATCTCATGAAAGTATTTATGAGCCTTTGAAAGGAAAAACAGGAATTTTCTTATTTAGAAAATAGTTTGACAGGAGTGGCCAAATATATATGAAATCAATTCTTAGGTTCAAAATAAGAAATATTTTCACCTAGGATGTTTTGAATCCATAATATAAGATAGTCCCATAATATTGTCCTTCTTTGGATAACGAAATGCCTTACTCTGCTGAGGTACTGTCTCTGGCAGTATTTTTCACTGAGAAACGGTGACAGAGATGAGTATTTGGAAACAATTTCTCCTGAGTCCCTCTTCTTTGTTTTTAAACTGGGATTATCATTGTTCTATGCAGAGAAAGACTACAAAAAAGTACATCAGAAAGGTATCATTTTAATTGCTTACCTAACCTGGGTGATGTTATTGTGTTAACGTTAATTTTTTCATTGCAGGGTTGAAGATGACAGGGTCTGTAGGCTGCAGGCTTTTCCGAGGAAAAACATTCGTTGCCGTGCCTTCCTGTAATCTTGTGCATGCACTGGATGACTCGGGACTGCATTCCTTTTCCACAGGTAACAGAGCACTGGAAAGCACAGAGCAGAGATAGTTAATTGGAAAGGTATTTTTCCCTGTAAACATGAAAGTATTATGTCAATCTGGCTGACATCAATGCCATTACTTCAGATATCGGTAACCCAAAATTTCTGCCTTCTGCTCAGTTAGCTAAAAGAAAATGAATTAAAAAGTACAAAACATTTGGCATTATCACAAAAGCACTGATTTCAGCTTCCTCCTGCTGTCAAGGCCTGTTTTGCAAAGCCAGTGATGAGACTAAAGTGCAGTGATCTGCCCAAACAGAGAGAGGGCTGTTCTCCTCTTCCTGTTTCTTAATTTACTCATAAGAGTCAATGCCAGTGAGGGTGATGGAAAAAAAGGAAATGCTCATAGACACCAAGGGGAACAGCCTATGGCAACCAGCTCCCACTCCTCCTGCCGGTGCTTTCTTCATTAAGCAGAGTGATGTCTCCCCTTGCTTTACCATCACAGCTTCAAGTTTTCATGTGTGTCCCACAAATGAAGCAGACACATTGTGTGAGAAGATGCTTGACCTTCCATCAGCCTTCCCAGCTTGTTGCCACAGGGAATGAGGTGAGAAGAAAATGGTAAAATACTGTAACGATGGTAACTTTATGCTTTACCACTGTAAGATATTACCCCGGGAAAGAAGCTTCGGCTGTGTCTTACAAATGCATGCAAAACCTATTCCGGACCAAGGAAACCACCCTTCCTCTTCATTGACATTTTCTGAACAAAATTTCACAGCACATAGGCTATTATTAAGCCTTAAGGCTTTAAGCTTTAAAAAATTTAAAGCTTATTGTTAAGTTTTAATGGCTCTAAGGTAAAGCCATTACCATTGCTTTAGCTATACTTTCCTTGCAAAAAAAAACCCATATATACTGCAACTTGCTCCTACAAGCTTGCAATTCTGACTCAGGTAACTAAAAATTCTGTTTGGTTTTGAAAAGATTTACAACACATAACATCTTCAAATATTACTTTTAATTCTTACATTTAATGATGTGAACATCAGCTGCATTTTGATGCAGCATATTCTTTACATCACGTAGGGTCTAGCAAATTTTAATTTCCTAAATATTCTCAAAACATTTCCACCACATCCTTTAGATTCTGTATCATATGCCCTGAAAAGCAACACGCAAGCCAAATGGCCGTAGATACACAATAACAAGCCTCATTCCTTACTGCCTTGCACAGTCATTATCTCTGTATACTGGATGGCTAGTCTGATGTTGTATCTGCCAGCATAAACACACATTTTTGGAAGAGGCATGTAAAACTTTAAACATGCTAGCCTAAGCCAAAATGGAGCAGGGAAGTTTCAAGAAATAGCTGGAAGAGCATTGAAAAGAGAGAGACAGGGGGAAGACGCTATAATGACAGAAGCTTCCCAAACACCGTATCTCAAGAGGCAGACACTTGGAGATGCCAAGCCTACAAAGGAACAGTAACATTTGAGTGTAGAGTTCCAGCCCCTTACATGCTTCTGGGTGGCATTTTAAATGCTGTTATTCAGAGGAGAGATTTACATGTGTTAAATGGGGAACTTCAAAAACATAACCCAAGAGTGGTGAGACATTTCAGTCCAAAAGGGTTATGACAGACTAGGATAGAAACTAGAAGAGTGGTCTTGGAAGTGAGGATACAGAGCCCAAAGCACATCTCAACTTATAGCCACATGAAATTAAACAATGACATCCTAAAGGGGCAGTAAGTGGACTTTATGTGGACCAAAAAGGGACTTTCTGATCTCACTGACATAAATCAGGAGGAACTCCACAAAGTTAACAAAGCTGATGATTGAATTTTCAAATAATTATATCATACACAACGTGCATCCACGGACATTCAATGAAGAACTTTAGTGAAGAACAACTTTTCAATAGCAACCACAACTTAATGTATGAACCATTATGCTGCTTACATGACTAAATCCTGTTAGTAGTTAAATCTTTTCAAAGCTCACTCATGAACTTTGAGTTCAGTATGCTGTGTTTAAACTACATACGAAAGATTGTCAACAGAATTACTTTTCCTGAATTCTATGCCTTTTTCATGTGCAGCTAAAATAGTCTGACAAACATTACAGATAATAACTATGTGTTATGAGACATATATATATATCTATATATATACACACACACATCAAAATTTAATCACCAACAAAAGCCAGAACACTGATTTTAATTCTGCCAAAACTAGTGACTGGAAAGTCACTTCCTGGATTTTTGTTTCCATCGTTTCAGGCAAACTCCTATTTTGATGGATTAGTGATCAAGATAATAGGATGCTAAAATTAAGAAACCTTTTTTTTTTTTTTTCTTAACATGCATGTGTTCTCTTTAACCAGTTACAAAGAAAGAGGACAGGCAAGGTGGATGTGACACATATGATCCTTTGAAAATAATTTCTCTTTGGTTACCCCAAAAGAAGCAAATGAACCGTAGCAGATGAGAATAACACTGCGTTGTCATACTGGGCCCAAATGGATTATCTGCTGATTGTTGATAGACAACACATTACACACAGAGGTGCCCTTCTGGAGAACACTCTGCCAGCAACCACATCTTATTTATAATCAAAAGAGCTCCAACTTGAACACATTTAATGACTGCAGTTGAGAAAATTTCCAGCAAGTGGACAGATTTCTCTCTGAGGTAATCAGTGTTTAGGCCTTGAATAAAGAATTTAGCAAATTTTGTCATTAACATCTCAATTAGATAATTAACATCTCTTTAGTGCTTGAGCCACTGTATTTTGTGAAACAGTGGCTTTTGTGGGGTATCTCAAAGTGCTTTGTGAAGCAATGCAGTCTAGTTTTCAATCCAAAGACATATACATTTGCAAACTATTAATTTTAATTTGCGTGATTCCTTACTATCATGCCAACTTTTGAGGGGGAAACTGAATCTACAGGATAATAAGATGACATGAAAAACATGTGACAAAACAAGCAATAAATTAAATCACCAGTTTTTTTTCCTTTGTTCTTCCCGTACAGAATGGTACTAATATTTAACTTAACATTTATTCCTATTTTATTATACTGGAAAATAATAGTAAGGCTTGAAAGGTGATTTTGCAAAACTGTCAAGAGACAGGGCCTCCAAACTGAGGCTTTAAACTTTCAAAGCCAAGTTGATTGGTTTAGAATTAGAGAGAGTCTTTTCAGATCTACTAGTGTTTTTAAAACCAAGCAGAGATCTGGCAGTCAAGCTATTCTTCCTTGTTGAAACAACATCAGTAGCAGCAATGGAGTCTAAATTTAAAATTAATTTAACATTTCTACTGATTATCTGTGAATCAGAAAAAATAATCAGGTCACTTTACCATGTCCATGTCACCTCTACCACATATCAGGTCATATTTCTTTTAGCAAAATCTACACTTGGAGCAGATGCACACAGGGCAAAGGAACCATTTCTAGATAGTTATTTAATAGCACTCTAAAATAAAAGGAAAAAATTCAGACATTCATGCATTTTATTTGCACGAAATTAGGGAACATACAACTCAGGTATGGCATTTCACAACCATAGCCAACTGGATAGCAGTTGTATTTGCTAGCTATGCAGATAGCTCCAGAACAGTTCAGGTTATCTCCACTAAGTCATCTTAGATCTGTCTCCATGCAACACATGCACCAGCCAAATGTTGGTATAACTGAGTGCAGCCAGTGAATATGGGAGAATAAGGCACCCTTATTATTTTCCTTTTTACCTATGCAAAGGTATGGACTTGGTCCAATCTCACTAGAAGACTGCAGTTTCTGCAAATCAGCTAGCTGCAATGCAGAGCAATAGCCCTTATCCTCTCTTTGGCACTCACCTGACTGCATATGCACATTTGCATTCTAACCAAAGCAAGTTTTCCCAAACTCTCTCTTAAGCTTGACCCACTTTTGGACTTGCTCTCATTGAAAATATTTAACCGGAGGCAAATAACACTTGCTATATGTGCAGGTGTGACCTCTTAGGCAGCAATTTTGGCATGCAGTTAAAACTGCATAGCTTTTGTACACTTCTGCAGTTTCCATATTTAAAACTGTAGAAGTCTTTCAACTGACAGCAAATAAAAATACTTCTTTATATACTTAGCACTGATTTTAATCAGAAAGCAATACAGTCTGTCAAAATTATGTTTTACAAGCCTTTGTAAATATAAAATACGTAAAAATTACTGCAATTACCAATTCCAAACCAATGTGAAGCAATTTTCAGAGATTAAGCACATCACAGATTAATTTCAACTCATTGTTTCAATTGCTAGCTAGCAAGTCGAGAGTGTTCTTCTATAGATTTTTTTCCCTTTCTTCCAATGCCACTTTCATATGCTACTCCACACTGCTGTGGTAGTTCTTTACTTTTCCTTTCTGACTATTCAGATGACCTACATTTTAAGGCCATGTAGCTGATTAGCAAAAATTCCCGCAGGACAACTGTGTTTGTAGGTTTAGACTAAATGTTCTAATACGCAGCCAAAGTTTTTTTTTATGTGGCTGTTAATCTGTGCATTTTGGACAGAGTCCTAAAGGTACTGTAAAATCATTCAAGCAGCATGACATGTAAAACATTCCTGTTAAAGATTACAAAAAAATCCTGGATAAATACAGTTAAAAGATTTTTTTTTAAAAAAAATCTTCTTCTTTCTTTCAAAGAAAAGCTGTCCACACTATTTGAATTTTGTCCTACTTTTGAACTTCTTTTAAATGCACTTTCAGAGACAGATATCTAGGCGTTAAATATAACAATCCTTACACTTAGCATGCACGCCAATTACCCAGGATTCCTTCTTTCTGCTCCCTGCCAAAGATATATATTCTGGAGAGAATATATATTCCCATGGCCAACAGCTGAGGAAGGTGCTGTAATGCCTTAGTTGTTTCCAGCTGGCCTCCACAAGAAGTAGGAATTCCTAAATTAAGGGGAAAAATTGTCACTGGCAGACAGTAACGGTCAAAATGTATCTTTTCTGCCAAGACAAGAGGCAATCATTGCAGAG